TGGCATTGCTTGAGGCTCCGAGGCGTGCTTGTGGAACTGACACTCGATGTTGAGTTCCTGCGTACTGGGGATTTCTGTTCACTCCACAGCCAAACTCAGGGGGGTTAACTCCAAAGGCAGTGATGGCAAACAGAACCAAAGTTTCTAGGCTGGACAGTGTGGCTGGTCAGGGAGTCACAGGTGACATTCAGACCTCAGGTACTCAGTGCTGGGAGGAGGGGCTCACCTCAGAGCCATGATTCCTCTCAGATCGGCCCGCTCCTGTCTGCCCCTCTGATCGGCTGCAGTGAAGAACTAGGCCTTGACTGGGAAGGGCGGGAGCCTCCCAGCCCTCTCCATCCTCCAGGCACACACTCCCCTCCGGCTGTGGCTCCCATTCCCTAAGCTCTGAGATACCTGGGTCAGGTTGGGGTTGGTGATAGGAGAAAGGACCCTGCTGTAATTGGTCCCCCCCTCTCCCCAGAGTGCCACTGGCGACTTCATCAGTGGGCTTTAGGGCCTGTTGGCAACTCAGAACTGAAAATCCTAGCCCATGGCCCTAGCAGGCTGGCATGGGCTATTAGGATAGAATACAGATTGGTGGCAGAGAAACCAAGTGATTCAAGGAGCTCTGGGGCCAAGGGATTCAATGAAATCCTGAGGGGAACATTCTCCATCCCTCTACTGGTTCTGTGGCCCAGAGGAATCACAATTCCTTTTGGTGTGAGCACCAGGAAGAAATTTGAAAGGCCTGGATAGGCCTGGATAAACTAGGAGCAGGAGCACTGGGGTCTCCAACACCAAAGGGGCTCCCACAGCCAGTTGATGGGGCAGCCGAGGCAGGGGCAGTCCTCTTACGGGTAGCAAGGAGCAGGAATCACAGTAGGCCCTGGAAGCACCATCGTGATGGGGACACACCCCAGAAAGTGAGTCCTTGCAGAGTAGGGTGATAAAGCAACTGGATTCACGCTTGGGATTTTTATTTTCCATTACCCTGACCACAGGCTCCTCCTGCAGGCTGCAACTGCTCCTGGGTGGTGTCCTTTGAGTACAGGGAGGAGGCCTGTGCCTTCCCTGAGGCCCTAGCCACAGCCCTCTGATAATGCTGGGTCCTCACTGTGAGACCAGGGTCTTCGTCCATGTCTGCAGTGCTGGGTACAGTACTGGCTCTGAGTGGATACTCAAAAAGGGTCCTCTCTAACCCGAATCTTTCCTGTCAGCATCACTAACCGGCCAGTGGATGTGACCCAGCTCTTCCTAGAACTTCCAGCAGAGGGAGCCCAAATCTCATGAGTGAAAAGGGCTGGTGTGCTGGTGGGGTCCTGGGGAGGGGTCTGAGTCTGGATCTGCCTTAGACCTGGCCCCACTTCAAAAACTAAGACGCTGGGACATCTGTAGCTACCACTACCATCCTTCAAGGGAAACCTCCGATGCCAGCCCCAGGAAGAGAAGCAGTTTGCTCTCTTTGCTGGGACTGAAATGAAGGAGAAGCCAGACTTGTCTACAACCAGGCTCAGCTATCAGCTCCCTTAAGCTGTTCGCCCCCACCCAGCCTGCTAACGGGCGAGGCTGGGGAGACAAAATGCAGCTACGGGTACAGTGGTGTTCCAGGCCAGCTGGCAACATGGCTCCCCGGCCTCTGACTTCCAGTTTCTTCCTCTTCCTTAAAGGACAGACAACTTTGTGGAGGCAGGTGTGGTGGCACTCAGGAGGCTGAGGCAGGATGATTGTCATGAGTTCAAGGCCAGCCTGAATTACGTAGCAAGCCCCTGTCTCAAAAAAAAAGGAAAAAAAAAAAAACAAAGAAACAGCTTCATGGACAAACACCCCCACCCCCACCCCCAAACTTCCCTGCTTGCCATGACTACAGACTCTGCCTTTGTATTGTGTCCCAGGCAGTGCCCAACAAGGGTGCCAAATGCTACAGGGCAAATTCTGCACCGAGGTGAGATCTGACTAGCTCTCACAAGGTCCCAGGCAACCGTATGACTTTAACAAGTCACTCAGCCACCTCAAACCTGCTTCCTTATCAGCCAAAATGGGCTCGCTCCTGGTATTTACTCCACTGGGCTGTTAGATGAAACAAGATAATGTCTGTAGAAATTGTTTGAGGAAGTACGAAGCTTTGCAAATACATCAGGAAGACCAGAACTAGTCTCACAGCTTAAGCCATAGGGATTAGAAAAAGGCAGTCTTAAGTCTTCTTTTAAAACTTTCTGCCTGCGTCCCCCAAACATCCTGGACTAAGGACAGGCTGTCCCCTCCTGCTTCTGGCCGGCTGGCTTTTCCCTCAGGCCGCTGCCTCCTTTTGCAATAAAATGACCCAAATGCTGCAGGACTGCAGCTCCATTTCAGATTTCAGTGCAGGTTTATTTCAGCTTTATATTTTATTCCAGGCAAGTGCTTATTACATGGATAGTATTCATGTCTCAATACCTAAAGTCTTGGAGCATGAACAGCCACTAGAATACAGTTCAATAGTAAAAATACAATATGTACAAAATTAGGGTTTTTGTAGGTTTTTGTTTTTTTTTTTTTCCCACACAGCAGATGTATCCAAACACATAAAAATCTCTACAGTCTGGGGTCGCTACAGTTTGTATTTCAGGAAACGGAGACACAGTGACCGAGTCCTCACTGTAAACAAGGGCCACCTCTTTGGGGGTTGGGACCCTGGGCTGGGGGAGAAGCAGCTGTTTCTGGAGAGCAGGGGTTTTGGTGACCTGCTACACTCCAGGCGTTCCCTGCCCTTCTTTGGCCCCCCCAAGGAACCACCCTCCCCTCTCCCCGAGGTAAAGACTCCCAGCCAGCGAGCCACTCTGAACACCAAAGGTTAAGTACAAGCATGAGAGGTAAGGTTGTGTCTGTCTGTCTGTCCCAGGCTGGAAGGGCTAGGGAGGGAAGGGCCAGGCGGTCCCATAGGGTGAGGACAGATATGGTCCTAACAGCTCTCAGAGGGGAGATGCCCAAGGAAGGGCTGGGAGGTGGCTGCCCACTTGGGCACACGGCATCACAGCGTTCACAAACAACAAAAACAACAGCAACAACACCCATCGTCACCAATCTGGACATAGTCATTCGGCACTAGATTTGGATGCCCCCACTTGGGGGGCGGGGCATGGGGGAGAGTAGGTGGATGATGAGGTATCTGTGCGGCCGGAGGGCAACTGGCCAACAGGGTGGTTTGAACTCTGGAACTGGCCTCAGGACGCAGGGAGAGGCGAAGGGGGCGGGGCGGGATCCCCAAAGTGCTCTGACTGCCGGCACCAGACTGCTTTCCACTGTCACAAGGACAGTGAGACCAGCCCCCAGAGCCACGATGTCAGTGGAGGTGGCTGCAGCTACAGGAAGGCAGCCAGCTTGGGGGGCTGAGGTGGTTGGGCTGGGGCAGCAGGGTGGAGACCTCATCTTAGGTTGCCCTTTCCCCACCTCAGCAGAGACAAAGAGACATCCCCTGGGAAGTCTCCAGGAACAGGAAGGAACTGGGAGTTCTCTGGCCTCTAAGGAGTCCTTATTTTCAAGAGAATGTGTTCAAGACCTTTGCAGGCCTCCTCAGTGCCTGCCAGCAGGGCACTCCAGAGGATCCTGAGTTCTCCCCTCCTGGTCCCCTTGCCTACCCCCCAAAAGTGCAAACTCCACATCTAGAACACTGGCTTCCTCCCCCTACACTGAAAGGCCATTGGTGAGTGTCCGCTGGGGGGCTGAATGTGCATGCGTGCGTGTAACTGAGTGTGTCTGACACAAGGCCACTTGTAATAAATATCCACATAAAAAGCCAAAGCAGTCTGCAGAGGCAAGGACCACAGTGCCCCCCAGGACAGGGCCTCTCACATCCTACCCCAAGCTCAGCCCTGTCCTCGACCCAGCTAAGGCCCTTATACCAGGGAAGGACCTTCAAACCTGCCCACTGCAGAAACGGGTATCTAGGGAAGAAGGTAACACAAGCAGAGCAGGAGCCACCCCTCTTGATAACCCCCGACTTTAGCCCACCCCCTCTCTACAGGCTCTGTTACTGGAGGGGCTCAGGGATTCCGCACAGCACCTGCATTGTAACCTCTCATGTCTCAACAATGTGGCTTCTCAGCTTCTGGGACCAGGTCCCGTTCTGGTCCCAGCCTCCCAGGCTGAAAGAGAGGTGCCCATGGCCTCATTCCTTGGGGAAATGTGCCACACTGAGCAGAAATCGAGGAACCAGGACAGTGAATACCAGACAGCACCTCTTCACCATCTTGTAGAGGTGAAATGCCACACCTAAGGACTGGGACAGAGGTCCAGAGCAGTGCTCCTCCCAGGCCAGGCCCAGGCTGCAGGGACAGTTGGGAAGCATGCCAAGCTCCACCTTCCTGAGCTCCAACCTCAGCCTGCCCTCAGGAGGCCAAGAGTCCAGCAGCAGGGGTTGGGAAGCTTGGCAACAGCTTGGCATTTGTTTATTGTTGATAGAGAACTGTTTTAAGTAGTTTCTACTGTAACAAAGCACAGTGACTATGCAAGCCTGGGCACCCACTTAACTGGGCAAAACTCCAGACCAGCCACCTCCTGGGATCTGTCACCGGTACTCAGAGCAGGACCCCTCATCAACCCATCTCCACCCAGCGTTCTGGCCAGGTGGCTTCTGTTGTGCCCCCTGCTCCCCATCCAAAGGCCTAGAACACTGAGGCTGGAAAGGGGAGGCCTGGGCACTCAGTCACCTCACCAGACACAGCAATAGCAGCAGCAGCAGCAGCAGCAGCAGCAGCACAGGAAGGCGGGCAGGGTGGGGAGAAGCCAGAGAACATGACACCACTTCGCACTGATTTCAGGGTACAGGATAGGGAGGCAGGAGCGGCAACGGAGCTGGCACCAGGTTGGACAGGTGGCATGTCCGTGAGCGTCTTCATCATTTTCTCAAGTCCTGGGGCAGCAGGGTAACCCCTGCCCTGCACCCAACTCCCTGGGGGGCCCCTCCCTCCCCTGGCTCAGAGTCTCTGCACCCCCTTCCCCTAGGAGGCCTGGGGGTGGTGTGGGTAGGGCGGGCATGGGCCTGGCTGGAATGTGTGGAGCTGGTGGGTGGGAGAGGGGGGACAGGTCCCCCTCCTTGCCCCCACTGGGGGCCTCTGAGTGGCCTCATCCTCAAGCCAGCTTGAGCGTGCTGACTGGAAAGGAGGGCATAGTGACCATCGTCACAGGGTTGAGCACTGTCTGGCCCACCAGCTGGGGGTGGTGCACCACCTGGGCCCCCACAGCTGGCTTCGCCATGACGGTGGCTGGGGGCCCCAGCCCGGCTGTGCCATTCACTTGCTGGTGTGAGAGTGTGTGGGCAATGTGGCTCACCGCCACGGGCTGGCTCACCGCCACAGGCTGCGGGTACAAGGGCAGCTGCGAACCGAGGTGGGCCACATGGTTGAGGGTGGCAGGATGCACTGTGATGTGGCCAATGGGGGGCGTGGCAGGTGCCAGCTGCACAGCAGGGCTGGGGGCCGAGGGGGCGATGTGGGCGATGTGCTTGCCACCCGGCCCCTGGAGAACATGGTTCACAGTCTGAATGACTGAGGCATGGGTGGTAGCTGTGTGGGCAATGACCGTGGAGCCACCCCCGGCCGTGGCCACCAGATGAGCAGGCGCCGGCACCAGTGTCTGGGCTGGGGCGGCCGGTGGGGGAGGAGGGGCTGGCAGAGGGGTCTTCTGCGGTGGAGGCTGCTGCTGTACAGGCAGATGGGCAGGAGACAGTGCCACTGGGTGCGGGTGCGGGTGCGGGTGGGGAGGCAGAGGTGTTGGGGTGGCACTGGGGGGAGGCAGGGCCGACTTCAGCAGCTCCGGCTGGGGACGATGGCTCAGCTTAGGTGGGCCCAGGCCTGCCCGGTCCTCCTCCATGTCCTCGTCTATGTTGTCCTCACCTTCTGTGGGGAACATGGGCCAGGGAGCGGGTCAGAAAGGCTTGGGGAACAAGTGGTTAGAGGCACAGATGCCGTGGGGGGCGGGGGATGTAATGGGGATGGGCAGGGGATATATCTTCTAGCAGGCAAAAACCTAGACAAGGGACAAAGGCCAAGGGACAAAATCCCTTGGGGGGATAGTTTCTGAGGGTGGTGGGATAGTTTCTGAGGGTGGTGGGAAGAGTGTCGGGGCCAGGGCTCACCAGAGGCTGTCGAGGTGGAAGCCTGGTCATCCTCAGGCTGGCCCGTCTGTCGGAGCACACGGTCGATCTCTAGCACGTCCATCCACTGGCTCAGTTCGTGCTTGAGCTCTGCCAGCCGCTGCTGTGTGGCGATCTTCTCCCGTGCCAGCCGCTCCATCTCATGCTCATACTCCTTCTCCTTCCTCTTCAGGGACTGGGGACAGGGCAGGGACAACAGGACGCTATGAGGAGCAGCAGCCCATCAAATGTCAAATCCCATCCCCGACCTGCCAGCCCACATAGACCCGTGTGCGGCGACCAGGGGAAGGGACAACAGGACACTCAACAGAGGATGCTGAAGACCATGCCCGCCTCCTACTCCACGGCTCTGCCCAATGAGGCCCGGTGCCCTAGGCATGACGGGCTCTTAGGCAGGTGCACAGATCCAACCTAGTCCTGATCCAAATACGGGGTCCCCCCTACACATCTTGTATTGGTCCTGAGGGCTTCACCACCTCAAGGGAAGACACTGCCCCATCTCCTCCTCCTCACATTCAAGGCCTCTCTCACCATTCACTCCATTCCAGTCACCAACGTCCCAGGCGTCCTTCTTTCTGTTCTGCAAAGAACCCCAAACAATCCTGCACGTCTCTCCACCTAACTACTCACCTGTCCCTGTGCCATGTACGTCATCACTGGAAGACAAACCCCTCAACTCTGTGACAGCATCCGGTCCCTCCTCTCTTCTCCCTGACTGCCTCCATCTCTTTTCCAGCAGCTGCTGGCTTTGTACCCCTTTCTGACATCCGGGCTACTCCCCATGGCACCCACCTGCATTGCCTGTCAGCTACAACGGTAACACACCGCTCCCTACAGAATACCTTCCCATGGACTCCCCAGCATGAACCCCCAACCGTGGAATGTGGCCCACTGTCCAGTAAGAAATGAGCTCAATAGCACCTACTGACTCCCTGCACCCCTGGAGAGTTTTCTGTCCTCATCCACAAGTTTCAGGTCAGCCCAACCTACCACACCAGTGTCACCCACTTCCCCCAGAACACACAGGGTGCAGAGTGCTAGGTCTCCACACTGGGGCGTCACTCTTGTTTCCTCTCTGACAGGCTCAGCAGCAGCTCCAAAAAGGCAGCTCTGGTCTCACCTCTCAGCTCCCGTCCACACAAAAGTCCTGACTGATACCTGATGAGCCCAACTCTTCCACATCTCACACACCTCCCTCCCTATGGGTCGCTCTCCTCACCTAGGCATGCTGGGCTGCAGCGTCCACCTGACAGGGCAGACCTTCTCTCAACCTGCCCCTGAGCACCTAGTTCCAAGCCTGCCAGTCATGTCCAGGTGCACAGGCCACAGGCTCTTCTCTTTTTTTTTTTTTTTTTTTGGTACCGGGAATCAAACTCTGGACTTTGCGCTTGCCAGGCAGGTACTTGTACCACTGAGCTATACCCCTGGCCCATTCTTCTCAGTCCAAACTCCAGGATGTCTTAGTTTTTCCTCTTGGAACCCTGTCTGCCCTCACACTCAGATCCTCCTTCCTTCATCCCTGGGTCTTAAGTGCTTCTGCTCCAAGATCACTGGCGGCCTCCCCGGTCCTTCCTCAAGCTACTGCGTCAGAGCACGTCTTAGTACCTATACCACACATCTGAGCATGAAACAGGAGACCTAGACAGGGCTTGGTCAGACACTGGCTCATACAACCACCAAACTGTCTCATGTGTGTGTTTTCGGTATGTCCAGGTTAACACACACTGTCCTCCTGCACCCTGAAAGTAAAGGTAGACTGTTCCACAGTTAATTTACACCCCGAACCTAGCAGGACCCTAGCAGTGTGCCACTTCCTGGCGGTCCCACCTTTGTCCTGTCTCTCCAGTCTCTCCTTCCCAGAAACAAGAATCACAAGGACTCTGAACACCTCCGTCTCCCTGCCTGGAGGCATCTTTTCTTTTCTTTCTTTTTCTTTTTTCTTTTTTTGTCTTTTTGAGACAGGGTCTCGCTATGCAGTTCAGGCTGGCCTTGAGCTCACTTTGTAGCCCAGGCTGGTCTCAACTCACAATCCTCCTGCCTCAGCCTCCCGAGTGCTAGGATTACAGACATGCGCCACCACGCCCGGTGCAGCAGCTTTTCTTGAGTGGGCAACACTTTCAATCCCAACCACCTGCTAGGCCTACTGCCCCCGTTTCTCCAGCAGCCGGGACTCTGTATTTTTGACCTTACCAGTGAGACACACCTCAAACCCTTAGTGCGTGGGACACATAACCCAGACAGAGGTATAAGCTGTGACGCCATGAGCCCGGACACATGTGACACCAATCTAAAACCACACACAGCCCCTTCTATCCTGGGTTGAGTTCAACCTGCTTTTCTTATGTCTACAAGAGCAGGACCTTCCTCTGCCTCAAATACATACAACTGTGTGCTTCCTCTTTGGCTCTGCCTTGGAGAGCTGGACCTGACATCAGATGAGGCAGTATCAGCAACAGGCCCCTGGTGACGCAGCCCTTACTTGAAGCAGATGGCTAGGAGCTGGAAGTACCATCCTCAACTCTACCGGCTTGCAGTGAAGCCATACTTCTTGGTCAGGGGCCAAAACCTCTTCTCACCTAGTCCAGGTCCCCACAGCCCTACAGGAAACTTCCCACAAGGGCCTAACGTTAGACCATACCGCTTTTTTTTTTTTTTTTTTTGGGTGGTGGTGGTGCTGGAGTTCCAACCCAGGCTGTACACATGCTAGGCACACGCTTTACTCACTAAGCAATGCCCCTAGCCCACCTGAGTGCATGCCTCCTCTGCCTGTGTCTGTCCACTTCTGTGGGGCTTTCTTTAAATCCTTTACCACCTCCAACCAAGGCTACAGAGTCTAGCTAGAGACTACTGTGTTCCCATAGCCTCCTCCTCTCAGCACACTACCAACGCCCTCCTTCTGCACGGCTCTCTCCAGGACTTTTTTTTTTTTTTTGGTACTGGGAGTTGAACTCAGGACCTTGAGCTTGCCAAGCAGGCGTTTGTCCCACTGAGCTATATTCCCGGCCTCAGGACTAGATTGTGACTCTCACCTACTGCCTGCTGTCCCGTAGCTCTGCATGGCAATGCTCCTAACCAGCTTTTACTTTAAAAAAAAAAAACCTTGCTCTGGCTAGAGAAAACCTGGCCTGCACAGGGCTCTGTCTTCCACTTTGCCTCATTCATCCTAACTGACCCTACAGGCGTCATTTTGAAAATCCTTTCCTTAGCAACAACTTCCCTAACCTCCCAAAGCAAATAT